TTTTATTCTTTCGCGAGAAATAGATAAAATAATTTTACGGTACATGATCGCTTACATTAACCTGATTCATGATGGTTAATGTACAATAGTAACTGACCGATTAAACGAACCTGCCAAGACTCTTCACCCTTGAAAGTGTACAATATAGTTTTCTGCTTAACGTCTGGCAAGATCGTCTGGTTCTCCCCTTGACAGTAAAAATATACAGTTGGTTTGGGGGCTACCCACTCATGACCGTTGAAAATTTCGATCGAACCAAGCATTACATCCCCAGATGAGAGAATTCCTGAAATAAGAGTAATAAACTCTCTAAATATATTTAAGGAAAAAAGAAGGACAAATTTTTAAAACCAACCGTTTTTTAAAATTAATAGGCAAAATCGACCGTGTTAAAAATTAATAGGCAAAATCGACCTGCACGGGACTACTAGTCCCGTGCAGTCCCTATCTCCCTCCTCCCCAACTGCCCATCTCTCTCTCTCTCCTCAATCACCTGCCCCCTTCTCCTCACTCACCCCCTTCCTTCTTCACCTCTACCACCAAAACCTCCGACATCACCAACTCCACCGACCACATCTTCGCCGCCGAGTTCGACACCGTCCAGGACTTCGAATTCCTCCTCTCCACCACGCCATCCTCCTCCTAATCCACCGCCACCCCTCCTCAGACCAGCCCTCCGCTAGCCTCCTCCTCCGCCCTGCACTCTAGCCCGCACCACCGTCACCATGAGCCGCCCTCCCTTCCTCCCCGAGCTCCAGCCCAACCGCCTCCACCCCATCCTCAGATCTGCCTCCCCTGAGCCGCTCCTCTCCTCTTCCTCCCCGAGCTCGGATGATTGTTGGGCGCTTGGGTTTTCTTGGCTGCTTGATTTTGAGGTGATTTTGATGGAAAGAGAGATTTTGGTGGGGAAATTGGAGGAGAGGAAGGGGAGAGGGTTTGAAGGGAGGAGGGATGAGGAGAGGAGAGAAGCGGGAGGCATTTAGGGTGGGGGTCTCACTTCCGACCAAGAAAGCCTGATCACCAGCATCGTTTTCGTCGGGATGCTGGTGGGCGCCTCCTCCTGGGGCGTTGTTTCTGATAACTATGGGAGAAGGGGGCAGGTGATTGAGGAGAGGGAGATAGGGACTGCACGGGACTAGTAGTCCCGTGCAGGTCGATTTTGACTATTAATTTTTAACACGGTCGATTTTGCCTATTAATTTTAAAAAAGGGTTGGTTTTAAAAATTTGTCCAACTTCATACTTTGCCCATATAATGCATATGGCACAAAAACATGCGGAGCAATAATTTGCATAGGCAAAAATCAATCTAGTGAAAATACACTGTGGAGTGATTCTCATTTCTCAGTGTGAAGTAACTCAGCACTAAGTTATCTTTGCTGCAGAGTTACTCGAAATCAACAATTAATAAGCTTGAAGTGTCTTAATTAAATGGCTGCTGATGTATGCCTCATTTGGCTGCTTGTTTACTATTGAAGAATTTTACCGTACATGATCGCTTATATTTGTTAGCATTTTCTTAAGGAAAAGGCAATTGTGAATAGTCCCACATTGGAAGTTGAAGAGAAGTTCAAGTGGTTTATAATGGTTCACTTCCTAATGGGCTTTGAGTAATGTTTTGGGCCTACTAGTGTTTGTGCTCTTTCTCCACACACGCGCGCGCGCGCGCACGCCACGCCTTTTGCTTCTCCAGCTTTTATTTTTTTGTAACGGCAGCATTTATTATGTAACGGCAGCATTTATTATGTAACGGCAGCGTGATTTACGCCCAACGGACGAGGAGATTCAGCATCGGTTACTGGTTCATGAGGCTATATAAGGAGGCAGAGTTCATTCGGGAAAACACACAGAAATTCACAAAGAATTTCATAGCTCCCTCTTCCTCCTTCTGCTACTCTTAGTACTCAAAGATTTTCGGCTACATATTTTGAGGATTATTTTTGGGCAATCATCTTCATCTGAGCAGAAGCTCTGCTACTCGCGCCCGAGTAGAGAGGCCGGCCGTTTCCGGGGGGCTTTTACCGCTAGGGGGGAGGATCAACTACGCCAGGGCGACAGGCGGGTCCTCTATCTTCTAGGGCAGTGTATCACGACTGCACCCCGTTCAGGCCTGTTTTTTCATAACTCATTTATTTTCAGTTAAACTAATATTGTTTATATTGGTAGCAATCTAGAAGATAGATTATTTATTGCTGTTAATTTAAATCTGAAAATAAATATATATAAAAAAAAAAAAAAATTGTTAACCTTTTGCATATTTGTTTATCTGTTTTAATTTCATATTTGTTTATCTGTTTTAATTTGTTAACCTTTTGCATCTAAGTAGTTAACAAATTATTTTACTGCAATAGTACTGAATTTTATATCTGTCAATTTTCATATTCAGTATCTGTCACATAAAAAAAAAATAAAAAATAAAAAAAAAAAAAATCTTTAAGTGAACCGGTTCAAGTTTTCTTGGATTAGTTGGTGTCTAAGGAAAGGTTTAAGGGTTGCGTAAAGCGCTCTGCAAGAAACGAGGTACTTAATCGATCATTGATCAACCTCTAGTACTATCCTTACCTGGCCAAACTACCCGAGTAAAACTTTAATCTTTTCACTTTTAGAGTTTTTGGTTAAGAGCAGGTTTAATTAAGTTTCTGGTCTAGTAGTATTAATAAAATTCTTACCCTGTTCAGATTTCAACGGGAGGATCAACTACGCCAGGGCGACAGGCGGGTCCTCTATCTTCTAGGGCAGTGTATCACGACTGCACACCGTTCAGGCCTGTTTTTTCATAACTCATTTATTTTCAGTTAAACTAATATTGTTTATATTGGTAGCAATATTAACCTGATTCATGATGGTTACATGATATTTAATGATTTCACAAGCCTTTTTTTCCTTTTTTTTCCCCGGGAAACGGAGGAAAACCTTGACAAGGCACGAGGATCCCCAGGCCAAAGCCCGAGTTTGATCTCCAACCCCTACCAAGTAGACCCCCGGGAGTGTGGGTCCCACCTTCCATTCTAACTACATCAACTACATGGTAGGCGGGATCGAACCAGGGGCCTGGAGGTGTTGGCAGTATTACCAATTCATCCACAAACCACCACCTCAAGTTGGTATGATTTGACAAAGTTAGATTGCAGTATATGTGGCTCCCTAATGAAGAGATTAGCACGAAATAAAAATATTTTCCTCGAGTCGACCTCAAAAAAAATTCCTCAGAACATAAACTTTGTTGAATAAATCATAAAACGAATAGCATATTCAGATAAAATATTATAGGATATCTGGGAGATGCACGAATCAAAATAGTTACCAGGAATCGAGAAGGAGAAGATGAGGCCAGAGATGAGGAGGATGTGTGAGATCAAAATTGGGGATCGTTGTGAATATAGCTGCCTCCTCATTTTGATCACATCGGAGGGGGGGAAAGGGAAATTTTTAGCTAATTGATTGTTTAAAACCAAAATGAATTTTTCTTTTAATTATTAAGTTGGGAACAGATGGACCAGATTCTTACACAATTGGCTTTTAGACTAAATCTAATTTATGAGTAATCTACATTTTCTGGCTTGTTTGCAACAAACTTGATGACAACACGTTAACTTTTTTTTTTTAAAATTTGGATTTATAAAATGTAGTTGCAACTTCTGTTGCGATAAATAATGTAGCTTTTTCTAGAAAATGAAAACTCAATTGCATCCTAGAGATGGAATTTTGCATGCAACGTTTGTTGTTGCGACTCTATTTTTCCTGACATCTAAACAATAAGTTTGTTTGTTATGAAATAATTGAAAATGCGGCAGATTTTATACGATAAATACATTGTGTGAAGAATTTAACGTGTTAAATTAGTCTTAATTAAACTTTTTCCTTAAACACCCATCCTTCTGCTAGAGATAATACATTTGCAAATGTTGTGAGAGTTCACACATGTTGCTGTAGGAAATGCATTTGAATCACAATATTCAAGCGTTTCTTTTTTCGCTGCAATTGCAAAATGATTTATATAAATAAATAATGAAACGCTGGACTATGGTTTCCACATGAAGTGGACATCGAAAAACTAAAAGACTAGTCCAAGCATCGCCATCTTGATTTATATTAATTTATCTATCTGTCCCATTATTATATACAAAGACGACGTCCACACATATTTTATCCATCCACACGCTAATTTTTGTCCCTTATAGCAATATTATTCCACAAAAGTTTCCACACAAAAAGTCACATGCGCGCGGACTTTGTCGAGAAAAACCGTGGCTTTTGGTCCGGTGACATTTTAGAGGGCTTTCGAGGAAAAAAGCTCCTAATCATTGGGGGGTTTTGTGAAATAAATACGAGTTCGAAAAGAGCGAACCCCATTTTCCTCCCTCCCCCCCTCTCTGTTTCTCCTTGATCTTAGAGCACTAGAAACAACCATCCATGGAGCCCAACCGGATCTTCTTGTTCCAGGGGCTCCTCATCGCGTTCGCCGTCGGCCTCGCCGCCTCCTCCGCCTTCGTCTCAGGTGAGCATCCTGGGAAGAAGAAAAAAAAAGTTTCTTTTTTGGGCATTTCTGTTATTGATTTGATTTACACTGGTGTGTTTTTTTTTGTGCTGTTAGATTCTGTTGTCGAAACCCAGAGATCTACCGGCCGGAATCTGCTCCAGACGAAAAAGCGTAAGGAAAATTTGGATATCTCAGAAAAGAAAAAAAAAATCAGGACAAATTTTCAAAACCGACCACTTTGGGATTTTAATTGCAAAAAACGACCCATTTCAATCTTATTTATAAAAACCGACCCAGTTGGTTGAAACTGGGTCGGTTTTTAAAAAAAAAATTCTCAAACTTCACGGGAGTTCAACTCCCGTGAAGTTTTGTTATGAGAAAAACTTCACGGGAGTTCAACTCCCGTGAAGTTTCCCAAAAAAAATTACAAAAACCGACCTGTTTTCAGCCCCTGGCTGAAAACAGGTCGGTTTTTGTAAATATTTTCAAAACCGGTCGTTTTTTGCAATTAAAAACCCAAAAGGGTCGGTTTTGAAAATTTGTCCAAAAAAATCATCTTCTTATTGCTAAAGCAGTTAATAACAATAGGACAAATTTTCAAAACAGTCCCATTTATAAAAATATTCTCAAAAAACGATCTGTTTCAACAATATTCGTCAAAACCGACATAGTTTCAGCCTCGGTTTTGATGAAAGAAAATATGTAACTTCACGGAAGTTGAAGTCCCGTGAAGCTTAGCAGCCATTTAACTAAGCTGCTAAACTTCACAGGACTTGTGGTTTCGTGAAGTTTCATTATTCAAAACAACTTCAGAACTGAAACGAAGTCCCGAGAAGTTTAACAGCTTAATTAAATAGTTGCTAAACTTCACGGAACTTCAAATCCCGTGAAGTTTGGAAACTTCTTTCGTCAAAACCGATCTAATTTCAGCCATCGGTGAAACATGTCATTTTTTGAAAATATTTTTAAAAAAAGGGTCGGTTTTGAAAATTTGTCCATAACAATATCATGAACTAAATTGTCTCAGATCACTTCATCGGCCTCTGTTTGCTGTGAATTTGATTGAACATTCTTAACATCCAAATCGACAAAGAGAAACCCTTCGAACTGGATATGACTGACAAAAAATAAATTAGCCTAGTGTTGTTGGTTACATAGAGTCATGAGAATCAAATTTTGGATGTGGGCTCTCTGTAACTCAGTCGTCTTCTCTTTTCTCGATGGCTTTGGATGGAGTTTGGGAATCCATTCCACCGCGAATTCTCACCGACGAACATAAAGTGTATAAACGCGTCATATTTATCCGCCATTCTTCGACTAATGCATGCTGCATCATCTTTTGCAGCTTGCCCCGTGAGCTTCGAGTTCATGAACTACACGATCTTCACAAGCCAATGCAGGGCACCCCAATACCCCGCGAAGCTCTGCTGTGGTGCTTTCTTAGAGTTTGCGTGCCCTTATGCAGACGAGCTCAACGACCTCACGAACGACTGTGCCTCAGTCATGTTCAGTTACATAGACCGTATTGGCAAGTACCCTCCGGGTCTCTTTGCCACCGAGTGCAAGGGAGATAAGCAGGGGCTTCCCTGCCCCGCCGGTTCTCCTCAGCCCTCTCAGAATGCTGATGCTAGTGCCGCCTCTTTTGCTCGTGTTGCGTCGTCTCGGATTGGTCTCGTGTCTGCGCTCGTCCTGGGGTTTCTTTCCTCTTGGACTGATGCTTGCAATGAATGATGGTGTTGTATTCTTTACTGAATTATATTGGCTTATCCTCTATTAGTGATGGTGGTTGCCTATTAACCAGGAGTTCGATGGCGAATGTCGCGGAGCGCGTGAATCTAGCTGGCGGCGACAAAGATCCTCATGGAATCGGTTCGAATCTCTAACGTTACTAAATTCCGCGCTTCCGATTCGTTTGATTATTCTCTAATTCTTGCGTATGTTTGCACCCCTGTGCTGATGCATTTGTAATGTAAGGGGGTGATTGGTGAGATGTAATTCTAAATGATGAGATGGTAAGGTTTTTTATTTAAGAAGTGGTTTTGTTTGTATTCTATATTTATTATTTTTGTGCATGAATATGCTTAAGTTTTTATGGGGAGGTAGGTTTTAGTTGATTGAGAATAATATTTTAGAGCACTATATGGTGTAATCTATCTATTTACTTGATTTATAGCTTGATGCTAATAGATGGTGGTGAACTGAGGCTATGGGCTGAATCCTGAGATTGCTTTTTTAACCCTCGAAAATAAACCCTTGGTAATTTAATGTGGATAGTAAAGGGAAAGTAAAATGAGTTATCCCTTTTGATTTCCATGCCTTTGACTTCCAGTAAAAAGTACCGAAGCTTTGATGGAGAAGCAATGACTATAAATAAGGGCTAATATATTGCCGGTAGATCCCCTAACATGTCACACAATTGCAGAAAGACCCCCTTACAACAATTATAATTGTGCAGATAGGCGCCCCGAGTGAAATTTTCTTACTCTTAAAAGAAAAAAAAGGTTTTTTATTGAGGCGAATAGATCCCTGTAGTTCTATCACCATGGATAGGTCTCCGATTAATGATATTTTTGACTTCTAAAAGAGTCAAAAAAGTTCACCATGCAACGAGGTCTATTTATGTTGTGATAAATATCATAACCAGATCATCCGCACAATTAAAATTATAATGCGTCTATCTGTAATTGGGCAATGCTACAATGAGTCTATCCACAACCGGAGGACAAAAATAACAGAGCTCGGCTACACCTCCGTCGCCTACGACTGCCCCTTCCAGTCCGGCACCTTCATCCCCGACGCTGGCCACTGCCGCATCCCCCTCTTTCCCCTCTTCAATTTTTTCTAGAAAAAGAAAAACCCCAATTGCATTCTAGAGATAGAATTTTGCATGCAACATTTGCTGTTGGGATCTATTTCCTGACAGCTAAACAATAAGTTTGTTTATTATGGAATAATTGAAAATGCAACAGATTTTACACGCGAAACACGCTGGGCGAAGAATTTACCATGTTAAATTAGTCTTAAACTTTTGTCTTGAGCACCTACACTTTTGTTAAGGATAATACATTTGCAAATATTGTAAGAGGTTACGTATCTATTCCTCTATACAAATAGTAGAACTCAAGATTCACTAACAATACAGTAAACGCTACAGTAACATTTACTGTAGCGTTATTATTGTAACAAATAGGAAACGAGATACTTTTTTTAAAAACACTACAACACACAAAATACTGTAGCATTTTAAAAAATTATAATAGCAATCCAAAAAATATTATTGTAAGGTTTAAAAATTAGGATTATTGTAGCAGAAAAAAAAAATAATGTACCGTATACCGTGTTCTGCACGGTGTTCACACTAGTATATTATTGAGTTCAAACTCAGAAAGGCCCCTGTGGTTTGCGCTGTAAATCTATTAAGCCCCCAGACTATTATTTGGATCTATTAAGCCCCTATGCTTTTTATTTTGAATCTATTTAGCCCCTATGGTGTTTCTCCATAACTAAAAAATAGATTCAATAAGAAAAAAAATACCTTTTTTAGTTATGGAAAAACACCATAGAGGCTAAATAGATTTAAAATAAAAAGTACAAGGACTTAATAGATTCAAATAATAGTCTAGGGGTTTAATAGATTTACCGCGCAAACCACGTGGAGGTTTGTGAGTTTGAACTCTATATTATTAGGAAACGCGTCCTGTCCCTGCGGCGTAACTGCAATTATTGCTGCGTAACTGCAATTATTACCGTATACCGTGCTTAGCTGCAGTTATTACGGAATGATTTATATTTCTGGAGTTCACTAGTTTGATGAGATGCCATTATTTAAAAACATATATAACTTTGTTCGTGATCGGCTGCCAGCTTCTATCCGCCGTCCTGTTCCTGCGGCGTAACGTACCGCCTCCAGCTCCGCAAACCCGCGTCCCTCTCTCTCCTCTCTCTCTCTGCAGCTCTCTGCTCTGTTCGTGATCTCTACGGTGAACTCGGTTCGAAAAGAACAAACCCAATTAGAGAGAGAGAGAGAGAGAGAGAGAGAGAGAGAAACCCTAGGAACAGCCATCCATGGATCCCGACCGGATCTTCTTGTTCCAGGCGCTTCTCGTCGCGCTCACCGTCGGCCTTGCCGCCTCCGCCACCTTCATCTCAGGTGACGATCCGGGGGAAATAAAAGTTCCCGTTTTGGGGATTCTTTTGTTATTGATTTGATCCGTGTCTCGACTGATTTATTTGGGTTTTGTGTTGTTAGATCCTGTGATCGAAGCCCAGAGATCTACTGGTCGGAATCTGCTCCAGACGAGAAAGTGTAAGCGAAGCTGATACCTTGTTCATGATCTTCGAGAAAAATCGAATCTTTTACTGTGTTTGGTCAATTTGCGCCCTTCGTTTCAGTCATTATTCGGAATTTCCTCACCTGAGTAAAAAAGACTTGAAATTTTCGGTTAAATTCTTTGGTCAACAATTTCTTGAAAGAAATGTCGTTAACTAACACTCCAGTTATGGGTGTAAGTAATGATGGTGGTGTTGATTGAGTAAAATAATAACCCGCGATTAGTATTTCCTAATTCCTAGAATTCATTTTTGTACTATTGATGATCACTGCCGAAATCAAATAATTATGATCTTGGGTAATTAACCGCGTGGCAGATTGGAACTGATCTGTTTTGTGTTTCTATTTTTTTTCCTTTCTGGTCTGTTCCATGTGGGCTCAAGAAGTAACATGAGATAGAGAAGATGCATAATTGGGTTTTGAATTGTTCTTTAGTAAAATTCGTTCGTCATGGCATTGTCACAGTTTTATGTCAGATCGTATGAACTTGGCAGGCGAAGAAAACATTGCAACTGTTGTTTCTGTGTTCTTTGGAGGAAAATTGTTTGCTTCGGCAGGTGGCAGTGTAGTGGAATTTTGTTCGGTCTCTAGTATTCTATCTAAGGTTATGCAAAATTGGCCATCCATTCAATCAAATGTTACCACGGGAAAATATGAAGATCAATGTCTGTAGTCAAATCATTCTTCTATGCGATTATGATGCCCGCTCCAACCTATATGGAATGCAAACTTTTTTTCTCTTTGTGCACTAAAATAAGTTGATAGTTAATTCCGTGGTTCTAAACTTCGTGCTTTCTTTTATATTCGGCTATGTCTCTCTTGTAAGCTAGATTTAATCTAGTTGATGGGTTCTTCTAATGTGTAGCAATCAAGAGAGAAAACTAACGTTTTGGTACTTTGTTTTAACTTAGATATTAGTGATGTGCAAGTATGTGACATTATGACGAACTTAAATTGTGGAAATGTTTCATATTTATCTGTCAGTTTTTTCTTCGACTAATTGATGCTATATTATCTTTTGCAGCTTGCCCCGTAAACTTCGAGTTCATGAACTACACGATCATCACAAGCCAGTGCAAGGGACCCCAATACCCTGCTAAGCTCTGCTGTAGTGCTCTCGTAGAGTTTGCATGCCCTTATGTGGACGAGCTCAACGACGCCACAAATGACTGTGCCTCGACCATGTTCAGTTACATAAACCTTTATGGCAAGTACCCTCCAGGTCTCTTTGCCAGCGAGTGCAAGGGAGATAAGCAAGGGCTTCCGTGCCCTGCTGATTCACCTCAGGCTTCTGAGAAAGCTGATGCTAGCGCTGCTCCATTTAGTCATGTTGTATTGTCTCAGATTGGTCTTGTGTCTGCACTCGTTCTGGGGTTTCTTTTCTCTTGATATACGTTTGCAATGAATGATGATGTTGTATTCTTCACTGAATTATCTTGGATCGCTGTGTTGATGTATTTGTATTGTACGGGTGTGTTGATGTGTTTGTAATGTATGGGGGCCATTGGTGCGATGTAATTCACATGATGAGGTGGTGATGTTTTATTTTAGAACTGGTTTTATTTGTATGCTATATTTATTATTTTTGTGCATAATTATGCTTAATTTTTGATGGTGAGGTAAAATTCAGTTGGTTGAGAATAATATTTAGAGCCCTATGGTGTAGTTTATCTACTTGATTTAGTATGATGCTAATTGATGGGGGTGAACAGATGTTATGTGCTGAAGCCTGATGAAGTTATTTTTTTATCCTTGAAAATAAATTCTGGTAATTTAATGTGGATGTTAGTTGAATGCAAGTGCTAGCAAAGGGAAAGGACCCTTGAAAATAAATTCTGGTAATTTAATGTGGATGTTAGTTGAATGCAAGTGCTAGCAAAGGGAAAGGAAAATAGTAGTGAAGCTGGATATTAATGTGGATGTTAGTTGAATGCAAGTGCTAGCAAAGGGAAAGGAAAATAGTAGTGAAGCTGGATATGACAAAGGAGTCACCGATACTCACCGTTGTCTTCCCTTGTTTCCATGCCTTGGTTTCCAGCATAAAATATTGAAGCTGGATGGAAAAGCAAATGGTTATAAAAAAGGTTAATTGCTGGTAGACCCTCTAAAGTATCATGCAAATGCAGAGAGACCCGCTCTAGCAATTCTACTGGTGCGGATAGACCCTTGAATGAATTTTTTTACTCTTAAAAGAACAACCAAAAAAGCTCTATAGAGGCGAAAAGACCCCTGCAGTATTATTGATATAGATAGATTTCGAATTACTAATTTTTTGACTTTTAAAAGAGTCAATAAAGTTTACCAAAGGGGGTCCGTCTCTGCTTTGAAAAACATTCCACAGAGTTTTTCCGCATAAATAGAACTGCAAGAAGAAGTTCATTGAGGAGGTCTATCTTACTTTGGTAAATACTACAAGGGGTCAACCCATACAAATAGCACTACAACAAGTCTATCTGGGCAATACTACAGTGGGTCCAGTCACAACTGGAGGATACTTTAGGGTAGGGTTGTGCATGGTTCAGTCCAAACCGAAAAACTGATCGAACCAACCGAAACTTAGCTGTTCGAGCCGGTTTTCTTTATAGATCGGTTCAGATCGGGTTGAAAACTTTTCAACCTGACCCACCCGAAGACCGTATCACTAGTAACCCCATATTTTTAAGACGTACCCATTAAAAATCCATAACCAACCCGTTCATTGATAATTGGTTCCCTCAAACCTAAACCCTAAATCAAAGACCGGACACCGCAGCCTTAGGGAAAAAAATGATCGTAGACGCAGCTTCTTGCGTCGACTTCCCAACTTGCCTCTCCGCCAACTCGAATTTTCTTCATTGCTGTCGCCTCTGACTCGTCGACGTCGCCTCCGACTCGTCGACAACTCGAATTTCCTTCATCGCCGTCGCAGCCACTCATCATCGTCTTTATGGCCGAGTCCGAACCATTTCTTCAGGATCCATCTCCTGCTTTGGAGACACCCGCACTGTTAGTGGAGGTATAAACTGAAAACCCTAATTTTGATGTATTTTTGTTTTGTTTTAAGTTGCAGTTGATTGTTGCTGCCCCTGTGATGTTTCCCCTTCTTTATCGCTTTATCATGATTAGATTAGTGATTTTTTTTCAAAATCCTTGCATGTTAGTATCTATATAAGTTGTGAATAAAGCAAAAGAAAATGTTCTATAATAGACATGAACAAATGTGTCATCTTGATTAGAAACAGAACAAACCGAACCGAACCGTACCGAACCGACTTGCAATAGTTTGGTTTGGTTTTGACTAATGGGTAGTTCGGTTCGATTGTTCAAAATTTGATAAAAAACCGAACCGACCAACCGTTTGCAAAGGGGGAAATAAAAGAACCCAAACCGACCCGAACCAAAATCGACCGGGTCCAAACGGTTATTTACTGAATATATATTAAGTCCGCCAAAGTCTCAACATCCTCCCTCCTCTTTCGCCGGCGGCGGCCAACCGAACCCAAAACCCAATCATGTTCTTCGACCTCAGCATCCCCTACCTCGAAACCCCCGCCACCAAAACCCTAACCCTAGATCTCCACCGCCTCAAAACCCTAGCCCGCGCCATGGAGCTCGGCTACACCGCCGACGAGGGCTACGGTGGCCGTTGATAGGGTCAGCGTTGGGTCGGCGTTTAATGCGAGGGGAGTCCTGAGGAGCTATGATTTGGTTGCGGCGAAGCCGTTGGATCAGGAGGGGTTCGATAGGGCGTGCCAGGTTGCGGATGTGAGTAAAGTTTGCTTTTTGACGCGAAACGTCTGCTAGGGTTTAAGTTACTGCATCGAGAACAGTAAAAAGATTGTTTTTTTATAGATATTTTCTGTTGTGTTTTTTATTTGTGGTGTTTTCATTGGTGTGACACTTGTGTTAGTGGTTTAGAGGCTTATTAGCATAGAGGTAAACATTGGGAACTAATGTTTTCTTTGGGTATTTTGCTTGCAGGTAGATATAATAGCGCTGGATTTTCCTCTAAAATTCCGATTAAAGCATCCGATGGTCGAATTGGCTATTAAGGTGCTGCAGGGACTGCATAAGCTTCCTTTGATTTTCAAGATATCATTTCTTTGCTTTTATTTTCTTTTTTTTTTTCAATTTGTGTCCATCTTTTTCTGGCGTGTATAACTTCCATTTGATCTATGTGCAGCGCGGAGTGTATTTCGAGATCAAGTACTCTGGCCTTATTGCTGATGCTCAAGCAAGGAGGCTAATGTTATCAGATGCCAGAGTTAGTACACTGCACTCTATTAAGCTTTTGACTCCTCTTGTTAAGGAAGTTGAAGTAAAATTATACCTTATGGTTACGTATTCATGAAATTTAAAATATATTTTGCATACATTGGCTATAACCTTGGTCTAGACTGTGATAGGTCATAATTCTTATTGTACTTGTCCTTTGTTGAATTTTCTGAGGTTCTTAACCTTATTTCCATGTAGACAAGAGAGGAAAAAGAAGAAGAAGAAGGAGGGGGAGAAAACAGAAAGAAAGCTACACAAATAATGATCTAATTTAGATATAAAGTCCTGCGAGATCAATTCTTTATAGAGAAGCCATTGTCAAAAGGGAAAAGCATAAAAAATTCGAGCTCAGTGACAAAAGGTTTCTTAGTAAATTAATTTACCTCTTAAATTTCATTAATTCCTTTATAACGTATATTTAGAAAGACTGGTGTAATTTTTTGAAGTGACTTGGTCTAAAATATAATCCTGATGATTCTATTGTCAAACTTTGTGTGTTGCCGGGAGGTGGTCCATATGCCACTTGATCATTCACTCAGATGCATATACTTCTGAGCATGTAACAGATAGTTTCTCAAGTTTGTACAACCGATCTCCTTCCTGTTTGTCAAAATTCTATCGCTTACAGTGATTGTAAGTAGTTGATGTCACTTGAGCTTTCAGTTCTGCTGTACTCTGCATTTTTAATTGCTTGACTGCTTCACTGTGCACCAGTATCAGTGAGTTGTATAACTGCTTACATTTTCATTTATCTGACCTTTAAATTCCAACAAGTGCACTAATTCAATGTTTCTGATTTTTAAATAAGAATGCCTCATTATAGTTTTAAGATTCAAATACACACCCTTATGTGAGTATGATTATTTCTGTGCAGTTATTAGTGGATTGGACCCGAGGGAAAAATCTTATTATTTCAAGTTCCGCAATCAGTGTGAATGATATTAGAGGGCCATACGATGTTGCAAATTTATCTTCGTTTCTACTTGGCCTCTCTAAGGAGCGAGCCAAAGCAGCTATATCTAGGAACTGCAGGTCTAGCATACACATTACGTCTCGCAATTTTCCCTGCTTATAAATCCTTCCTTGTCAGATGTTTAATACTCTGATTCATTTCTTGCTCAGTTCACTAATAACTAATGCCCTGAGGAAGAAAGATTACAAGGAAGCCATCAGAATCGAGAGGATTGCATCAGATGACAAACTGGACTCTGGAAGTGATTGGTTTGGTGACTGGAATGACTGGGATCCTATATCTAGTGGAAAAGGTGATTTGCCACCATTGGACGATATTTCAAAGCTTTTCTCTGCTGTCAGTAAGCAACCTAAAAGCTGTCCTGCAATTGATTTCCTGTCATCTGACAACACATTTTCATTGAAGGATCATATCTCTAGCAATGGAAAAGGCCCTATAGCAGTGAATGAAAGGGAAACAAATATATCCTGTCCTAAGAAACCTGTATCTGGTACCGTCGCAAAGTTGTCTTCTTCTGCCGACGATGTTCTTGTTGACAATAGGAAATCAGTGCCTGTTGCTCCTTTAGGACTAAAGATTTCTGGTTACGAAGGAAGTAAGGTCTCACTAAGCAGCAGATTAGGAGTGTTTGCTGATGCCGAGGAATCTACCATGGCTGTAACTGTTTCTAATAATGAAACCGTAGAAAATTCCACTGAAAACAATGGAGCTACAGATGCAGCTGGGATCCCTTGTTCTGACACCCAGTTAAAGTATTGCACATTCAAAGGCAAAGATAGCCTTGTTTCAACTGATTTTTTTTTGGCAAATACATCAACTATTGATGAGATATCCACTACATGTGTTGAAGATGTTAGAACTTCAGATAGTCCTGGCATAGTTTCAGTTACTACTGTGGCTCCAAGTGACGTTACAGAATTAGTGTGCAAAATCTCTAATGCTGCAGATGGTCATCTATCATCTAATGGTAAAGAGGCATTCTCTTTGAAGTCCTTAGAAAAGATTATACCAGAAGAGCAAATAGAAGCAACAGGACTTGAAAGAGAGCCAAATGATGAAGTTTTTAGTGACAATGCTCCTCAGAAGATAGACTTTTTAGAGTCTGATCCAAGTGGAGGAATAGATGGTCAGTTATCCGGTGCTGTACCTTTTGTATCTGAATTGAAAACACTGGAGGAAGAAGTCTTAGTTGACACTGATGCTTGCATGGAGGAGGTTTTAGTCAAGCATGAAGATCATAACCAACAGGAGGCTACTTCAGCTTATGGCTATAGGCTTAAATCAGGTAGAAGATTTAATAATATCTGGTGACGTATTTCAGGGCCTTCTGATATATATTTTTTGTTGGTGGGATTAATATTCTATAAATTTTTAGATAACACACTATTCTTCATTTGTTCTTTTTGTAAGAACCACTTGACATGTCTAGCAGAAGCTTGAGGCTACTTTTGAGTTAACAGCTACCTTATTCTCCATGTGGAGTTTTAACATCATATATTTCCTGTCATTTTACTATTTTAGGACCTAACCCTTTTTTCTTTATACTGTAATCAGAACACTCTCTTATAGGTAGATTTTGTTGTTGGTTAGACAGGTGACACCCATTATCTAAATTTTTATCCAGTCAATTACTATTTATTTTCTTTAATGTCATTTTCTGATATTGAGTTGACAAATTTTAGGTTCCTTTTGTCACTTGAAAATCTGAACTACCTGCCATTTGCGTTTTATGATTGTCATTGCCACCAATTTCTGATTTGCGGGAAATTGATAACGAGAAGATATGGAGCCATTATCTTTCATTGAGCCTGTCTAGTGCGCATTAATAGGAAGTCTTGTGCACTTTAGGGTTTTTTCATTAATCTTCGTTGCCAAATAAGAAGTGAGATAGAAGAGGATTAGATAAAGATGTGGCGGCAGATTCATCCTAATAAATACAAAATACGCAATCCTGAAGGATGACTCTGACAAAAAGGATATATCGACAACATAGATAGACCTAATCCTCTGCATCATTGTTGAATCTAGGATAGGAGTGTTGTTTGCAAGATTTATGATATATATGAGTGAATAATTAGTTGATTTATGCATGGAGATTAGAAAAAAAGTAAACCAACTAAGACGGATGAATGTTTGCATGAGAAATAAAGAAATGCGGGAAAATTACATGAGGATTATGATGTGTTAGAAATATGTATATATGAAAATTAATTATGTCATCACCATTTTTATTGAATCCATGATAATATAAGGGATGTTATGTATGGGCTAATTAATAAGTTCAAACAGAGACAGGAGCATAGTTTCGAAATGAACTTCAGCGACGAGGGAAAAAAACAATCAGTTGAGAGGAATGATGAAACCGCAAAAAAGCATTACTCTATCTCTTGGTCACTGTTCTGCAGCAACTCTGCATGCTTTATATAACATGCAGCAATATTGAGCCTCAAGTTACTTGTGGCATAAGAGAATTTAATTGCTCATAATCTGCCATGATTGCTTTTAGATTGTGTTGGGAACCAGTAGCTTTTGCTAGTTAATTAATTCTAATTACAATAGAAGACATGCCTCAAATTCTTCCTTTGTAACTAAGAAATTCTAGTTCCAAAAGAAATTGAGAGAATGCTCACATTTGTCAATTTTGATTGAACTCAGATAATTACAGAACAATCTCCACAATCACAATTTTCCAAGACAGGCCCTGAATTTGATATATCATATCTTTCTCATATAAGGATAGATTTTGATTTCAAGAAAGCTTATGAAGAGTAGCAACTGAAGTAAAACTTGGTATTAGGTTTAACTTGTGGAGACCATTAAATGACCAAGAGTCAATGAAGAAAACTGTGAGAACTCTGAAAAAAAAAAGAAATGAATGGAACTAGAGAAACATGTCACATGATTTAAAAATGCAAAAAAAGTTCATGGGGAGTCCTGCAAACAGGAAATTGTGGTTGGACACAAGATATTAACACACATATCTTTTGATATTTGTTAATGAATTTAAATAAGAACTTCGTTTGAGTACCAGGATTTTTTGTCTATTATCTTGATTTACCTATGTCACAGCATTCTGCTGTTGTACAGTTGTATCCTACCTTTCTTATAAGTTTCATCTAGATACTGTCACTATTTGACATGCAAGTAAAGTCATATTTAAGGAATTACCCATATTTGGAAGGTATTCGGAAGGAAGTAACTGCTTCTTCTTAGCACTTCACTTAGAGCAAAGTAGCAACTCGCTAGGCTTGGGCATGACAAGGATAGGTGCCAATCCAAGCCCATAATGTCTTATCTCCTTCCAAAAAGAATTGATGTGATGGTCAGGCACAACACCGAGTCTGAACAAATGTAATTGACTGGATCTGCTTGGAATATTTTAAATATTACAAAAATTCCTTGAAAAGAAGCATTCGATAAAATTAAAAATTAATAAAAATAAATATACTTAGCTTATTGCAAATAGAACCTAGCTTATGACAAATAGAACCTGCCTTTTTTGCGCAAAAAAATTGTATCCCTGGAATATATCAAATGATATCTTTAAATTGCATCTTCAACTCTGTCAATGTCAATATCTTAGCATCAGGGTTTCTAGTGCATGGATTGGCTTGTATAGTCATGCTCATGTGATGTTTGATGGTAGTATTTTCTGCTTATTATTGTCATTCTTTTCTAATTTGAATAACCATTCCATTTAGGAAATTAAATGGTTTCCTTTAATCTGGATGATGATCGTGTTACTTTCTGATACTTCTCAGGGAAAGGAAAACAGAAGGGAAGATCATGTCAGTCCTATCCTTTGCCTTTTAAGAGTCCATTGAAGCGTAAAGTTTTTAAAAGGAAATCATGTCAAAGAAGAAGATCTATCAGACGTTGTAAGGATGGATTTTAATATTTTATCTGTTTTTAGTTGCTCTTTGCCTATTTCTATTGATTGTTTGTATTGCACCACTCTTCAGTTGCGATTTCCATTGGCAATCGTTGCGTATTTTCAAGTCTCTATTTCAATGTGAGGAAGCTTATGTTGACAAGTTGCAATTTGTCGTTACTTATTAGTTTTTGCCATTGGATTGTCACCTTGAAATTTAGTATTTTACGAGTTCTATGAGAATACTGTTACATATTGTCTCTATGTTCTTACATTTTTGTGCAAGGATAACCTAACCTTTTAATTTATATATTAGGATATCTGTTACTTTTTTTTCTTTTTTGCAGAATCATTTTTCTTTAAGAAGATAGAATAACATTTGCATAGTTTCGAATATTGGACAAGAGTTTTTATGTGTAGTATCTCCATCTTCATTTACAAGCCTGTTGACATTATCTCAATCATAACACTACACACGCCTTTAGCTCGTCTCCTCAGCCACTACATCCATTTCCTTTTGGTTATTATTTATTGTCCCTTCACATTTTTTCAAATTTCCTTGTAAGGTTTTGTGAGGATCTTTATGCATCAGCAATACTTTTACCCTTCTTTCTCACAATTCGAAGTTCTACTTCCTATCAAAATTTTGAGCTAAACATCACACTGGAAGTTCCTGTCCCCCGCTTGCTAATTTGATCACTTTCGAAACACTATAGAACACCTGTATTTGCATGAGAGGATACAGAGCTTTGGCACTCTTCTGTCAGTAAAAATAACAAGTGGTAATAACCTTTGGATTAGATTGATACAGTGATAGTAGAAAGCGTGATCAAATTTTTTTGACAATGAGAAAACTGAATTTCTATGTGAACAACAACAAAGACAAGAGGAATCCCTTTGTGGCCTTGCAAACGCATGCTTATATATATGGCAGGCATTGAGAGTAATTTATCGATAATTTTTGTTACAGAAGATGCTATTCACATCTCTCCTTTTGTATTTTAAGCTTTTCTCTCTCATTTTACCACAAGTATTCGTGCGAACTCGTATTATGAGTTTACAACCATAGTTTACCACTTAGTAGACCTTTATGTAGGTTCAAACTTCTAACAAAGCCCTATAAAGGTTACAACTTACAAGGCCAACCTTTTTTTTGGCCATTTTCTTTGATCCTAAGAATCCAATGGTTAAATAATCAGTGTCAGATGTATAGAATATGTTAGTTGGATTCTAATCAAAGCAATAGATTGTATAAACTAAAGGTCTTTGTTCTTAGACCAAGATTTTCTTAGCCTGAAAACAAAAACTACCTATAACTTCCAGAACTTTATATCCATGGCATCATTGAGGTCTCTTTGCTTTCCGATACAAGACAATACATAGTACTAAAACAATGGACAGTGTCAAGAATGGAAGGCAGTTTAGTCAATAAATGGATCTTAGCCTTTGGTCCAGAGGAAACTTGGTCAGAGGTGAAGATTCACAAACAAAGAAAAAAAAAAGCTTTGTTCAAAGTGAAGTCTCAATGAACAGTCTAAACCCCATTTCCGTGTCAGAATATGACACCCATATCCCTGTCTAGAAATCAGAACCGGGTTTCATATGGGGGTTCTCTTGTTGCAGTCGGTGCAGGTCTCGCAGTCGCATTGCCATATTGGCGACCTTGTTTAACATTGAGAAGCCTGCATGTGTTCTTGTGCATTTGCATCTTTGCAGATACAAAAGGTCCACGGATTGTGTGTATTTTGGCATGGAGATTGAAATAATTCTGGAGTTGTGGAAAAGAAGAAGTACCAATAAGCAGCACCAAGTTATCTTTGAAGGAAGTGTATGTCCATAATGTGGAAAGGTTAGGCCTCCTAAAAGATAAAAGTAAATCTAGCATTTAGCGTAGAGTATAAATAGTGCACCAATTGAACATTGTCAGGGCTGGAACAGTTGTCTGTATTAGGCGTAATTCATATGACTCTGAGTTTGTTTGTAGGGACAGTGACATCTGGAGTCAACTTTTGATAAGGAAGCAGGAAAATCTTTGGAGATTTCCTTTCCTTCAGATAGGCATGGTGTCTGGCCAAATTCATCACTAACATAGTTTAGTTCCATGTCCCTTAGTGAAGTAGAAGATGCTGCAAGATTGATGGAAGACTAAATTCGAGAATACAAGGAAAATGCTTATGCCAGGATTTGTTTTTTCTTTAAGATGTGTGGTAACAGTGATAATGCTGAATTACTTTCCATAAGAATTTGGATAATGCTTTGTGCTAATAGTTGCTGTAAAGTTTTAGTGATAAATCACACTGACCAAGTGGGCATTTCTTAATTGCTTGAGTCTTTAAGAACTCGAGTACTTTATGCGCTTCGAACACCTCGATTCTGAACTTTCATAGTATTTAGATGTGATTACATATCTCCTGTAATGAAGGCATCTGTCATCTCAAATTCTAATAAAGTGAGTTTCTAGCCTGCTAGACATAAAGTCTGAATTAGCACACCCTTTTCTAGAGGGGGTGGTCCATACCATTTGTTTGGCAGAACTAGTCCTTCAGCCTCTCTCCATCACTTGTGACATGGGCTAATATTTAGGGCACTTGATGAGTATGGTTAGTGATTGTTATCTCTTCAAACTCTTTTTTTGATGTCACATTAGTTCTCAGTCTCTTAGACTATATCCTGTTCACGTCAGATGTCAACGTAGCATCACATGAATACTAAAAAGAGTGGAGAATATGTAGCTTTCAGACGTTATTTTTCTTATACTAACTCTAATTGTATGAGTTTATTACGCTCCCTGCCAAAGTGAGGTTAATGAAGTCCTTGACCCCCATCAACTGACAAATAATTGCATACCCACTTGTGGCTGTAGTGGTGAGACTATTTTGCTTGTTGACCTGCTAAAGAGTAAAAGTTCAAAAAGTTTAAAAAACTTTGAGCACTTTACCTGACCTTAATCTCTCCCACAGTCCCACTTGTTACCTTATGTTGCAAACAATCACTTAAAGCATCAATAGGTAGGGAGCCTGCACACTGCGTTGGAAACTGCCATTTTGCACGGAAGCTCAGGGAAATTCTCTTAATTTCCCTTACCTGCTCAATTGGCACTCGATCCTCTTAGTTCGCTCATCATAGCATGTGATTTTAAACTGTTTGTAGATAGCACTTGGAACGGCTGGATTTGATTGAACCTGTATGAGCTCTGAAAGTTCAGACTAATGAAGCAATCATGTTAAGATTCTGGTTTGGATTGGTAATTTGATCTAAAGTATCTGCATGCATTATTATAGCATCTTTTGGTCTTTTGAGTCATTTCTCAACAGCTATTGTTTAATTCGAGTATTGTTTTCGCCTTGACAAGCTGAGAAAAAATTGTGTTGATCTGAACTGCGTCTTTAAACATGTGAGTGCTCATACATGAATTTTTATTTTACCTTCTGTCCTAGGCTTTCTGGAACTGAAAACTAAGAATTGCTATAATTCATTTGTTGGTTCAATTTGCAATCAAGTTTGTAATGTCCTTGACATGCAGTTATTAATTCAATTCGATTGTACTCAAGACACGTGTCTTGAATGACAATGGTTGAAGTGGCTTATTGGATCTTTTGACATCAAACTCCTGCCTTGCTTAGACATTAAATTACATTCTAACGCTCCTTATTAAAATTGCATCGCTCGCTATCTCAACCAAGTGAGGATTCATATTTATTGCATGCAAGGGTCGACTACCCTTTCCGACGATGATGTGGTCGACAATCATTACATTTTGTCATGATGGGTTGGTCAAATCCACTCCTAAGTCGGTGATCTTCAACTGTCGGGTGACATCAACAGGGTTACATGTTTATGTGAGAGGGTTTCATGGATTTTATAGAAGACTAGGAGATAACTGTCGACGATTGGGTTCGACGACTCCCTCCTTGCATGTGGACCAATCAGCAGTTGAAACAGCATGAGTTACCAACTAATCTGGCACTGAACAAGGCACTTTCTGACCAATCAATGGATGAAACAACATTGGTCTCTCCTATGGCTTTTTATCTTTGTAGACCTTCTGAACGCTGAGATTTCTTCAAAGAGGTAATCATCTCCCACTCAATGCTTCGCAAGTTAATATATGTCTGAAGTTGATAGGAATTGCTATAGATGCTTTCCTGGGATAGTCCCTATATGGCAGTTTCACTGGTCATGATTTTCTCATCGAAAATCAATTTATTAATGGGTGCTCTTGTGTTTATTGTCAGTGTTTAATGTCTCTTAGAAGTTAAGACTAATCATTGGGTAGTATTGCCTTTCATTAGCTGCTGATACTTTCCTGTCCTCTCTCCTTTCATTTCATGTGATTCTCTTTTGCTTCTCTAGACCTAAGTGGCGGGGTCTCCATTATATCTAGTCAAATGCAAGTTGTGTATGGATACCTGTTGAAGTGCTCTGGAGCAGGAACCCATAGTTTAGGATATTGCTGGAAAGTGTGCAGCCCACCTTAGGAATGCCATGGCCAAATAATTTTAGCATTAACTGCGGATAGACCCCCTGTACTTCTGTTGTTCCAGATAGACCCCTCTGGATTTCTCAACACCGTTAGTTTTCCTATTCAAATTGGTTATATCCTATGTGTAATGATCATTATGCAAGTTTATTTTAAGTTTATGAAGCTCATATGTTTAAAGTTTAGGAAGCGAATCTTAGCGTGGAATTAACGGAGTTGAGAAGTCAGGGAATCTGTTTGCAACAATGGAAGTAGAAGGCTACAAGCAGCCTACTCGTAATTTGGCGATAATACAGAGGGTCTATCCGCAATTCACTCAATAATTCAGGAACAAGCTAGGGGGTTCCAGATTTGGTGTAGTATGCTTATAGGGTCCTCTATAGGACATGGTATGGGGAGGAAGGAGAGCCCTCTATATCGCATGATATAGGGAGGAAGGAGAGGGTGACACTTGACATATCAGTGCAGTTACTATCTAGTCATATGTCTATCATAGACAATAGTGATTGCCTCGATATTCCTGGTGACACCCTCCTTCATCCCCATATGATATTCTATAGAGGGCCCTCTGTAGGATTATTTTCCTATATTTTCACACCTTTTGCTGTCAATCACTGATCTGTTGCCATTTGCAAGGGCGCTTTCGGATTGGACATGGCGAAAAAGTTGCATCAGTTGGTGGA